TCAGGCATGTGTTAGAAATTATTAATATATTCTGCCCTGAATAAATTGACTGACTGAGGGGGGGAATCATTATTTGACCCTATATATCTTGTTTTCATAACTTGAGACATTAGTTGTTGTACCATGATGCTGTAGAGAGGTAAAAAAATCTTTGATTTCTAAGACCTTAAGCTCTGCGTAATTTACCCACTGATAAAAGTTCAGTGCCCTTTTTTTGGAACCACATCATGTACTTAGTTCTGGATTATGAGCCATTTACAGAGATACTGGACATGTGCTTCTAGTGGCATCATTATTTCAGTATCCCTGTAGAAAGTTGGAATATACATCTCCTCTAATTCAGCAAGTCTTAGGTATTTTTGAGAATGTTGGCCTTGATATCTTCAAAAGATAGTGGCTGTCATCAAAAACAGTTTTTTTTAATGCTTGAGGAAATAACTGAATTTCTAAGTCAAATTCTATTTTAGCAAGATCCATATGTATTAATACTGTAGCCTCAGTGCTTGAGTGTAAGCTGTGCTTAAATTTTGTTTGGCTGAAAATCCTTTTCACTTGTAAATTACATTTGGATTAGAAAGTTAATGTCCTATGTCATGAAGAATTTTATAGGTGGAAGGTACCTCAGTAGTAAGCCCACTCTATTTTTGTTGTGATGCCTATTTCCCTTACATAATGATGTCTTCCCTTTTAAATTCAGATTCTTAACAATGTCCCAAAGTCATCAGTCACTTTGATTGTACTGCTGTAGATGAATGAAGTACAGGAGGTTGCACTGTATATTTAGCAGGATGTTCTCTAAAGGTTTTGTATGTTATGAAAATAGCTGTTAGTCCTTTCTCCCTTTCTGTTTTCTAATTTTCTTGCCTCCAGTTTTTTCTTTGTTATTGCTGCTGCTTTTTTTCTCTCTTTGTTCTCATTCTTTCTGATATGGTCTTCCTTCTATATTTGCCACCTTCCAGATGTCTGGCTTCCAGATCTGGAAAATTGAGCTTTTATTTCTCTGGTAGGTTTGACAAATTAACATAATTAATCACATCTTTAGTGTTACAGTTAATTTAATTAAGTGAGCTCTGTATCTTCCACCTTTTGAAGTTGAATGAGACTACATGTGATCTATGAATCTCCTCTGCAAAAATATCTAAGTTTCCCTTTCATTTCTCCTTAAAATCTTTGTAAGAAGAGTGGAACTCACTTTGAGTAGGTGGCCTAGCCCAAATTCGGACTACTCATGAAAGTTTTCTTATTGAGCAGAAATCTGCCTCTTGTTAAATTTAACTAGTCTTGTTTTCTGGAGCCATTCAGTGTCATGCTCTTTGAATCATCATGACAGTTTCATCTAGTTTCCTCACCCTGTTCTTGTTTTCCTGTGTACTCTGTTTGTCAATGTCTGTCTTTTTTAAAGAAACAGTATATTCTTGATTTGGTCTTCTTAGTGTAGTGTAAACCTCTGAACCATGTTCCTTGACTTTGATTCCTAATTATGTTAATATCTTGGAATCACATCTTTTTTATTTAGTGGACATATCACCCTCTTGAGGCAGAGGAAATGTAGCATGACATTAGTAGTGCAGGTTATATTACCTGGAGTTGTAACTTCACAAGTTAGCTATAGTTTTGAGCATATTACATTGCTTGGTCCCATTGTCTTCTGTATGATGGGGATAGCTGTAGTTTGTATCTCATGGATAGGGTTGTGGAAGGTTCAGATAATCCATATAAAGTGCTTAACTTAAATGTCAAAAATGGCATGTTTATTTTTGAAATAATTTTTCCCAGTTGTTTGTTGCTGTACAACAAACCAGTCAAAACTCAAGTGACTCAAAACAATCATTTGTTCCATTTTTCTATTCTATTTAATTTATTCCATTCTTTATTATATAGCTTGTCTGGACTCTCCTCGGCATTACTCCACATGGTATTGGCTGGGGTCACTCATTGTGTTCTGGCAGGGCTGAAATGCCCAAATTGAACATGTCTTATTACTGGGTCTGGCTGGCTTTTCTCTCCAGCAGGGTAGTTTGGCCTTTTACGTTCTGACTCGGGCTCCAAGGGAGCAAAAGGGGAAGCTGCCATTTCTCTTAAGGGTTAGTCGAACAGCAGTTAGTTGCACTGCATTCTGTTAGTCAAAGCAAGTCAACAAAGTTAACTAGGACTCCCCTTCTTGACAGGAGGAGGGATAGCAGGGGAATAGGTAGAGGCCATCTTTGGAGATAGTCATAGTTAACTTTTTGAAGCAGTGTTAGCTCCTTTAAGTTTACTGTTTAATCCAGTCTTTCTTGCTTTTTGTTTTTTAAATCTTAGTGGTTCTTAGCTTTATGTCATTGAAAGATTTGGTAGACAAATGAATGCCATTTATCCTATTCTTGGCTACATTTAATAGTTTTATTGAAATGTGATTGGACACACAAAAAATGCACATATTTAATGTACACAATTTGGTGAGTTGATTTTCTCAACTTAGAGTGAACATTTCATCAAAAGCATCTTGCCACTGTTGATACTTGGACCTTTTGGTTTATCATTAGGCCAATAAGCAGCCTGAGTACTGTTTACTTCCCTTCCTGTTTTACTTACAGGCTTTGGTCAATAGCTTTAAAGTTGTTTTTGTTTATGTTGTTTTAATCAGATGTTACAACTAATTCAGTGTTCATCTTGGAGGAAGAGGTACTTAACTGCTATTTTGAAAATTCTCAGTATGAGTTAAACCAGTGTAAAATGTGTTTTAAGGATACAGAAGTTACTACTCATAAAAGATATGAATCCTCATAACATTTATTGACATCTTGACTAAGTAATTTCTACAGGTTTTCTGATGTACACTTTTAAAGTTTTATATCTTAAATGATTCCCCCTTTACTACATGTTTGTGGTCTTCCATCTTTACATATATAGAGTAGGTTAGACAGTCACTGAGAAGTGAAGGGTGGGTATGACTAGGCAGTGTTATTCTTAATTTCATTGTCTTCCTTGCTAGACCACTTATCCACAAATTTAGAGATTGTCTTGCTCACCATTATAGTCTCGGTGCTTAGCCACAGTGGCATTTATTTGGAGAATGAGTGAATGTAAAAGAGTATGCTGTAACACTAAAATGTGAAATAGGATTGCCTTGGTAGAAAATTGACCTTGTGGCTGGGTTTAGCTATTGTCACTTATTTTATTTGAAAACATTCTTAGTATAATCTTAAATATATGTAAATGAGCCAGAGAGCAGCTCACAGTTTAACTGCATTTGGAACCTTCTTTATATATTTTCTCCCACTATTCTAATTTGAAGTTATTTGTGTATTGTGTTTCATCACATTATACTTTTTCTTTAGACTTCATAGTCTAACCTTTAGCCAGTCAAAAATAAAACTTACCTTAAAATTGTGGAGTGCCACGGTTTAAACCTAGACTGACTCCAGAGTCACTAGTCATTACCATTTCCCAATGAATTTTGTATTAAGATATAAAACTTGAAAAGGCCCAGTCATTTGTTTAAGTGAAAAAAAAATCCACTTACTGTTATTAAGTGGACCTATCTTCTGTTTGAGGCAAATCCCTAGAGAGCAGCTGTAGTGTTCAAAGATTGTCCATGCCCCCAAAGAGCCTGATGTTCAAAGGACAAAGTAGTTTTGTAGCTTAGAGATCTTTGAATATGAAGGTACACGTATGGTGTAATAAAGATCTTGTTACCCTAACCAAACTGCTCTTCTCTGATTTCAGGGGAGTAATTTAAAATACCGTTTCATAATCAAAGGAAACATCAACTCACTTTTAACTCCCTTCTCTAATGCAGTGCAGCTTGGCCCTCCTGCCAACTTGGTGGCTACCCACTTCATCTGGATATCTGTAGCTTCAGTTGTAGAAGAAGGGGGAGAGGCTGGGTTAAAGTTTTCACCTACCCACCATTGGAACATAATAATGGGGTAAACATACAAAGTTATTATTTAAATGCATTTTTCAAGCTATTTTGCATATAAGAAGGTACTGTATAAACTGAGGTGACTGCTGTGTGACTGCCTGGAGAATAGGAACCAGTCATTTAGGTACCTTTTGCCTTGTAAAATTGATTTGGGACTAAGCCTGGTTGAAATTGACTTCCACCTTGAATTCCTAGGGTGTATTTAGTAGGAAATGGGGGCGGAGGTGAGAGTGGTTTTGTTTTTTTATTTGCCTAATGATACTACTGGAATTACCCTCTCTTAACAAAAAGATCACTAGTTTATTGTGCCTTCTCCACCTGATAAAATAATCTTTTATTTGCTTTAAATCAGTACTAGACTAAAACTATTAACAGGATTTAAATTAGTTTAGATATTACAGTTTTAAACAATTATAAAGGATGAAGTTTTATCTGTTGGGTTGATGTGTGAACATGTGTTTTATTAGCTAAAAATCACTTTAATGGGATTAGGGTTTGCTCTTCAGATCTGTAGTTCTCATAATCCTACCACTGTCTTAATTTAGTTAGGAAAAATAAAGTCTGCTTTGAACAGCTTGTTACCTGTTGTGAGGTACTACTTGAATTGCGTTTTTATAAATGAAGTAGTGTTGTTCTGTTTCCTCTGTCATGAACTCTAGGGTCAGTTACATTTTTGGGTTTCTGCTTAAGTCATTTTTCTCCAGAAACCCAAAAGGTTCTTCTCTTACATTATTTCCATTAAAATGTCATGACTACCTTGAAAATGGAAAATGTTATGCACTATCATGCTTTTACCTTCATTAAAATGTAGTCTTTATTAGAATGTAAGTAAGACTATGGTGGGTGGAGGGAGGCAAAATTTAAGTGTATCATTCTCTTTTTACACTAACTTCAGATTTTAAGTATTGCTGTCCAAAGCATTTGCTTTTAAACCACAAATTCATGAGCCTATTGCATTCATCAGTTGTATTTTTGGCAGTGACTGGGTATTAAAATTTTATAATTTAGGCTATAATATGGTCTTAAGAAACACAGGTTCTTTCAGTTTTGTAAATATTTTATTATTATTATAACACTTTATTTTCTTCCCAAGTCTCTCTTGGAAAAGTTTTTGATCCCCAATGCTTCACAAGCAGAAAGCAAAGTCTTCTATTTGAAAATGAAAGGAGACTACTACCGTTACTTGGCTGAGGTTGCTGCTGGTGATGACAAGAAAGGTATGCTGTGTTTTTCGATTTGTTTGTTGAAGTTACTTAAAATAACTGTGGAAGTCTCTCTATAAAATAACAGTATGGAAGTCATCTCTTTCTGAATTGTAGGGTTTTTTTGTTTTTAATTGCTTAGAGCTCTAAATGAAGAGCAGTGGTATATACTTCCTTCTCCTTCTTTTCAGTCCTGAGAACATGTATTTCCTGCCTACTACTGGTGTCCTGAAATATGTGCTTGCAAAAAAGCTGATTTGCAGGGATGTTTTCTCACAATTTTAAGAAATAGTGGTACAAACTATTTATTAAATGCAATATTGAGGTGATTACAAAGTTGTTTTTTTGTTCTTGACATTAACCAGTGGCTACTGGTGTGCCAGGAGATACTTTTTTTTTTTAAGATCCTCATTCAAGTAAGGTTGCTATAGCTTATTATTTCAGAGGGTATCATTTGAAATGAAAAGTTTGGTTTGAGACTTAAAGTAAAAGGTTTGTTTGGTTTGAGACATAAAGGGAAAGTACATTCAAACTTTATCAATACATTTTAGTATGTTTTATTATCCAGGGATTGTGGATCAGTCACAACAAGCATACCAAGAAGCTTTTGAAATCAGCAAAAAGGAAATGCAGCCAACACATCCTATCAGATTGGGTCTGGCCCTTAACTTCTCTGTGTTCTATTATGAGATTCTGAACTCCCCGGAGAAAGCCTGCTCTCTTGCAAAGACAGTATGTATTTTTATCTGTTCTGTGGAAATTTAGTAACCCTTATCATATTTAAGCACTGATATGTCCTTTTTTTTTTAATCAAAAGGCTTTTGATGAAGCCATTGCTGAACTTGATACATTAAGTGAAGAGTCATACAAAGACAGCACGCTAATAATGCAATTACTGAGAGACAACTTGACAGTAAGTACATAACATCATTAATAGTTAATGTGGTTGAAGAAATTACATTGTTTTACAGAGTACCACAAAGAATTCTTAATGGTCTTTTTTTATTCAGTTGGTACTATCTGCTGTTGAGCCATGAAGAAAACCACCTTACAGAGACTGAAATATTAATCCAAGAACTAAAAATGTACTTTTATTCATATGTACTATTAAAATTTTAGTTTTTAAAATTTGTCATCCAAGATTTCGGACTTGTAGTCACATAGGGCATTTTATTATTCATTACAATCTGTGATACCTTCCCCCACCCCCCATGTTAGTCACAGAGAAGTTTAATTTTTAAAAATATCAGAAGTTACACAGAAGTTCTCTTTGTTTTTAAATTCCATTAAAACTGTTTTCATGATCATAAAGTTGCCTCCATGTTTATATAGCTATGGTAAGGTGTCAATAACTTGAGTTAACAAAAGTTTTCAGATAATCTTCAGAATGCAAATAACTTTAGTATGGAAGGTCAGAATTGTCATTCTTGGTATACTCCAGACTAAAAGAACCACAATGCCATTATCACACTGATAAAATTGACTGTAATGCCTTTAAAATGTTGAATATCTAAATAGTGTACAAATTCTAGTTGTCTTTTTGTGTTACATATATTTTAAAACAGTTTATTTTAATTGGAATTCAAATTAAGTCTACACATTGTAGTTGGTTGATATGTCTGTTTGGCCTCAGGTTTCCCCATTGTTCTCTCCTTCAGATAAATAGTAAATTTGAAATTTTGAGGCTTAGGTGAAAAAATTACCAAGTATCTGCTGTGTGCCAGGTAAAGAGCTAGGAATAAAGATTATAATCTTAGTGGTACTAGGTATTTGTTCGTTTGTTTTTTGTTTTTTTAGCTTTAGGGCCATTTCTCTTTGTGGACTCTGTTATTTTATACATTTCACTTCTAGCTGTTCTAGACTACTGCCGGTTTTCCGAACCAGTTTTGTATATTCTCGTGTTAAATAGTCTCAGCAAAGAGTTTTTGACTAGTATTTTGTGTACTTAGCTTTATTATTATTAAATCTTAAAATTATTTTAGAAAGTATAATTGGGGGCTACCTACAAAATTGTGAGATTTTAATTTTAGTCACTAGAGTAAGCTATAATTTCTTATAGAGTGAATTCTTTATATCAAATGGAACAAGCACTTTGGTTTGTTATTTAATATTAAGAATTTTTTATTTTTCTGGTTTGAAGTGGTAAGGTAGTTGTCATTCCTAAAAGGTGGAACCTGAAACCTAGTTACTGTGTTGTATTGGCAACACTTTCTAAGAGGGCATGATGTGAAATACATACTTCAGTTGAATTTTGGTACCAGCATAGCATGAAGAGTGCACTGCAACAACTGAGTAAGAAAACCAAGGTTTGGAATTCCAATTCTGTAACTAATACTATGTGTCTTCTCTGAGCCTCAGTAGTGTCATCTGTTATTACAGGTTGAATTGAGCATTTATCTGTCAAGTAGAAATTTTACCAAAACTAGTACTTGAATCTGGATCTGGTTGACCATTTCTAGGAAGAAAAATATATTCTATCACATTTTATCATTTTTATATGGAAAATTCAAGGATCCTTGAAGGTTAGAACTGGAAAGATGTTAGAAGACAATTTCATCTTGTCTTAAAAACCCCCCTGGTTAGGAGCACACAGGCTTCCAGAGGTCATTTAGCTAACTCTGTGTGACAAGTCCTTCCAGGCCAGAGATATATTTGGTTAATAAATTAATGGGTGATTTAGGAGATGGAAAAGTATTATTGAGATTTTTTCCTTTCATTTTTCAGTGTATAAGCAATATAAAATTTAACATCATCTTGAATCAGTCCTTTATAATACATCTAAAAATCATCGTGGGGGAAAAAAATCACCGTGGAGTTGTAAGACTTGTGAAAAAAAATGTTAAATATTTGAAGCAGCTGAAATTTTCAAAAATTTTTTAACCTGCTGAGAAACTAACATTAGTGAATTTGTATTTTAGTTAAGATTTGATCATGGCCCTTGAATTTCGTGGAATGTGGGATTCTCTTTGGAGTGGGAGTCTTAAGTATTAACCAAGGCGTAGTAGCGTGAGCTCCTTGAACATGGGCTGAATTAGATGATTCTGGTCTAGCTACACTAATAAACATCTCTTCTCAGGGCAATTCAGGCTCCTCTATGATTTGTTCTTTCTCCTTACTTTCTGTGAATAACTAAGAGTTTCTTGTATCTGATATTTTTATTTGAAGAAGACTGTACTTTGCTTAAAAAATGACTAGAGAGAAAATAAATTATATTGGGGTATTTTAAATCTTAAAGCTATCTTCATTGCTGCTGCTGTTTAAGGAAAGAATTTCAACAAAAACCATGCTTATGTTTTTCTACTTTGACATACATATTAACACTTTTTTCAAATTGAAAAATGCTGAAAATTTTTTCCTTCTTTTACCAGTTGTGGACATCGGATACCCAAGGAGATGAAGCTGAAGCAGGAGAAGGAGGGGAAAATTAACCAGCCTTCCAACTTTTGTCTGCCTCATTCTAAAATTTACACAGTAGACCATTTGTCATCCATGCTGTCCCACAAATAGTTTTTTGTTTACGATTTATGACAGGTTTATGTTACTTCTATTTGAATTTCTATATTTCCCATGTGGTTTTTATGTTTAATATTAGGGGAGTAGAGCCAGTTAACATTTAGGGAGTTATCTGTTTTCATCTTGAGGTGGCCAATATGGGGATGTGGAATTTTTTATACAAGTTATAAATGTTTGGCATAGTACTTTTGGTACATTGTGGCTTCACAAGGGCCAGTGTTAAAACTGCTTCCATGTCTAAGCAAAGAAAACTGCCTACACATATTGGTTTGTCCCAGTGGGGAATAAAAGGGATACTTGGTTCCAGTCACAGGTGTAGTTACTGTGGGTACTTAAGGTTTGGAGCACTTAGAAGGCTGTAGTAGAAATGGATTATCCCATGGATATTACATGTTGAACCATATATATCTGTGGAATACTCAGTCACAGTGTGCACACCTTTGACTGCAGCTGCAGAAGGGTTCCTTTAGTTGTGACCCAGTTTACTCTGGATAAGGGCAGAAACGGTTCACATTCCATTATTTGTAAAGTTACCTGCTGTTTGCTTTCATTACTTTTTTTTGCTACACTCAGTTTATTTGTATTTAAATGTTTTAGGCAACCTAAGAACAAATGTACAAGTAAAGATGCAGTAAAAATGAATTGCTTGATATCAGTTAATTTAACTTCATGTATATCAAGCACAGCAGCAAAACAAAAAACCCATGTATTTAAACTTTTTTTTAGGTTTTTTTTGGCTTTTGTGACTTTTTTTGATACTTGCCTAACATGCATGTGCTGTATAAAAATAGTTAACAGGGAAATAACTTGATGATGGCTAGCTTTGTTTAATGTCTTATGAAATTTTCATGAACAATCCAAGCATAATTGTTAAGAACGTGTATTAAGTTCATGTAAGTGGAATAAAAGTTTTATGAATGGACTTTTCAACTACTTTATCTACAGCTTTTCATGTAAATTAGTCCTTTGGTTCTGAAAGTTCTCGAAATTGTACATTTTTGGAAATTTATTCCTTATTCCCTCTTGGCAGCTAATGGGCTTTTACCAAGTTTAAATACAAAGTTTATCATAACAAAATACTACTAATATAACTACTACTGTTCCCAACCATGTCCCATACTCCCCCTACGCCTGGAAAAAAAAATGCACTTTTTTTTTTTTAAAGGTGGGGGAATTGATTGGAAAAAAGTAATGTGTTCCATTTAAAATTTTATTTCTAACTTAGGAAGCCACAATGTTCTTGGCCTATCATAACATTGGGTAGCATTAACTGTAAGTTTTGTGCTTCCAAATCACTTTTGTTTTTAAGAATTTCTTGATACTCTTATACTCTGCCTTCAGTTTTGATGTTTGTTCTTCCTGTTGTCAGATGTACAGGATTATCTTTTTTAGCCTTGTGTCTTGTCACCAACCATTCCTATTTGGTGGCCATGTGCTTGGAAAAAAAGGCCGCATGATCATTCTGGCTCCACTCACTGTCTAAGGATACCCTGCTTCCTTTGCTTGCATCCCACAAACTATTCCCCTCATCCTATTTACTGCAGCAAATCTCTCCTTAGTTGATGAGATTGTGTTTATCTCCCTCTAAACCTTAACCTATCTTGAATGGTCTGTCATTGTCTGCCTTCCTCTTCCTCTCTCTAAATAATGATGGGGCTAAGTTACACCCAAAGCTCGTCCTACAGACTATTTCCTCTGTATCTTGCAGAAAACACCAAACAAATACCATTTTAAAAGAGGTGTATTTTTTTTTTTCTTTTAGAATGTAAGCTCCTCAAGAGCAGGGACAATGTTTTCTGTATGTTCTATTGTGCCTAGTACACTGTAAATGCTCAATAAATATTGATGATGGGAGGCAGTGAGTCTTAATGGTAAAGGTGAAAAACTGAAACCCCGAATACTGTTTTGTTGCTTGTTTTATTATGACCTCAGATTAAATTGGGAATTATCAGCCCTTTAGGACAACTGTCCCAAATACTACGTTCAAATAAAAGTGCAATGGAGGCTTTGGGGTCATTCTTTCAAAGGAGAAAAGATCTCTTGTGCATTTGGGACAACATAATAATGCATCTTCACTCACAGCTTGCTTTTTCTATTGATTTCTCTTGACCCCAAGGCCAAGGACATGAAATCAGCTAAGGAAAACTAAGCTACACTGAAGAGATGGGTCTCATTTTAAAAGTTATTTAAAACTATGAAGCTTATATTTGCCTATTCATGTGTATCAGTCATCTGCTTATACTAGCTAAATTCTGAGATAAATTGTGATAATTTCATTAACATTAGCTGTTAATTTGTTTCTACACAGTGCCCAATAGATGAAGGAAGATTCCAACAAGATATTTTGCCTTGGGCTTTGAATAAGTTTTTTGTAAGTCTTTAAAGTCATTTAATTAATTTAATTGTCCCAAATTCAGGCTTCATGTCTGTTTTTGTCAATATAATGTGATAGTTCCAGGGGGAAAAAATTTTTTTGAGAATTTAATGTATTTTTTTTTTTTTGAGAATCTAACGTATTTAGTATGTCGTTTTGGAAGTTAATATATGTATATACATACATGGACATACAGAGAGATAAATATGTCTCCTTTAATGTTGACCTTTGAGAGTGAAGCATCAGTGTGACCAGTAAAAAGGATGGACTTTGCTGTGACTTTGGCCTGTGGTCCTTTACATTGGTGTAAAGGTCTTGGGAGTGGCGGAGGGAATAAAAGGACTGAAAGACTGTAAAGTGGTTTAATTCTAGGAGCTCAGTTTTCTTTTTTCTGTCTTCCCCACAAGATAGTCATCAGTCCTTCCATGGCCCAAAGGATGTATTTTAAAGCTAGGTAAGGCCAGTTTGGAATTGACGGTTTTATTTGTGGTTAGACCTCAGTTTGAGAATGCAATCTTGATAAAATAATTTGTGAACTCAATAGATGTTTAAAACGATCTTGCATAGACTCTGGATACAGATCCAGGAATTCTGGAGACTCCAGCAGTGGCAGCATCTAAATGGTTTTATATCCTCTATACTAGAAGGAAAATAGCATTTGGTTTACATGCAAGTACATTTTGTGAGAGCCTACAATGTGTTAGGAACTTTCTAAGTTGTGCAATGTGCTCATAGTCTTTAAGTATGCCTGTAGGGGTCGGTCAAGAAATCTTAGATTGCTTTGTATTTTGTCACCATATGGGAAATTAGTGAATTTTATTATCTCTAGTCTTAAGGTGGTGGCTGAAACTGGTCAAATTGGAAAGTGGCTAGACTTGGATCCTTTCTTAATTATCAGTAAAATACTTACTAGTGGACAGCTGTCACAGTCACATTGGTTAATTCTATCTAGTACTCCATTTAAAAGACTATAGAGACCTAAAAACAAGGTAGTGCTAGGCATTTTGTAAGGAACTTCACAGTAGACCTCTAAAGAAGTAGTATGCTTGAATGACAAAATTGTGTTCAAGTAGCCACAGTAGTAGCTCTGCTTTAAAAACCAAAAACTAACCTTAAAAATGTTGCTTGTGTACATCCAAATCTGATCATGCTACTTTGTCTATGACTGTCAACCCCCAACTACTACACACCTTCAAAGTTCCTGGAATAGCAGAACTATTAATGGTAGACCAACTATTTGGAAGATGTACCTGTCATGTATTAACTTGCCATAATTTTGAAGTATGAACATGCTGGGCTGTACAAGCAACTCTGTCTTGGATGCAGAAATGAGAATGCATATGTTAAGGTAGCTATAGTCAACCCTAGGTAATTAGTGTTTTTCACAGTTGACTGCATTCTATGTAATTTTTGAAAGACCAAACTTAAGCTAATGTTAATCAGATTTGTTGGTATTAATTTGCAATTTCAGACATTAGAAACCCGTGTGTTTAGCAGGGCATTTTTTAATGCTATTGGATGTGGTTTGGCAGCCACAGCTGGAGAGTGTTTAGGGAAGCTCAGAGACCAGTCAAAACTGAATGGGATCCAGGTAGACGTTATATAGCATGTACAAAGGCAGCAAGATTTTGACAGCTTTCATGCATTTGCAACTGTAAAGGGTCCTGTGATTGTAGAAGAAACAGATTATTATGCTTTTTAAATCATGTAGGTCTGTTATTTTTACTTTTAAATAGTTTTGATCACCTGAGGGGAACTTTCTTCAGTACCAGTCTCATGAATTTAGGTTGGAGCCTCAGATGATGTATTTTTAGCAAGACTGCCATGGGCTGAAATGATTAATTGTTTGCTGCTGAAGTTTTAAGGGGGTCACACATAATAAATATTTGGGGGGTGGGGGAAGGCTGTGTAAGACTACATTTAAAGGCTATCACGAAGAGAAGGATGGTCTGCTGAGAAGAAAGTACATGACCAATACGTTGTCTGAGAAGAAAATGCATGACCAGTAAGTATGTGGAGAGAGGCTTAACCAAGGAAATGCAAAAGCAAGACCATAAGTAGGCATCACCATTTTTCCCCCATTTGGTGAGTGTAACCTGAAAGTCTGGCCAAAACTAAATGTTGGGAGATGTGAATTGAAGTCTCAACATATTGCTAATGGGAGTTTAGTACATCTCTTTAGAAAAATGATTTGACATCTTGTAAAGCTGACCATATGTCTACAATTGAGCAATTCTGTCCTGAGTGTATCTCCTATAAAGTGTATGTGTGCATCAAAAAGTGATAAGAGTAATCACAGCTGCATTGTTTGAATTAGCAAAAAGCCAGAGAGAACCCAAATGTCCATTGAAAAGGGAATGCATAGAGTTGTTTACCCAGTTGATATAATCTAAATGAAAATGAGTCAACTACAGCCCAGTTGGTAACATGGTTTTTAGTAATACTGAGTGAAAAAACACCCCAGTAGATTACATGGCACAGTATGGCATACCTAAGATTCAAAAATGAACACAACTTTTGCTTAGGTGTGCATATATGTGGTAAAACCTCTCTACCAGAGATTATGGATAGCAAGTAATAACATTCAGAATAGAGGTTACCTATGGAGAAGAAGCAGAGGGAATATTATTAGTAATGTTATTACTGGGTTCACACTTTAATTAGATTTCCATTTGAGAACAGGGTTGACACAAGGATTGTGGTTAATCCAGTTGTGGGATTAGAGGTCACAGAAAGGAAAGGAAGTAAATGGAAACAAAGACAGTAGCCAAAGCATTGCCTGATGGGAAAAATAAGATTGGCGGAGAACATGAAGAACAGGTACCACATTTGTTTAATAACAGCACACAAAGCTCTCAATAGAGACTTAAAAATTGCTAATCTAATCATTGCACCCTACAATTGTCCTACCATCCTTCCTTTTAAGTGGTGGAGCAGGAAGAACATGATTCAGTTAAATGAGCTGGGAAGGCTATATTGTGAAACACTGAAAACGTGAAAAGTATGAGTCTCTAAGATGAAGGAAGAGGAAAGTCTTGAACTTTTGGTAGAACATAGTCTGTCCTTTTAGGGCCTGAACAATTTTGTCAAATCAGCCAAACCACTTAATTGAATTCAGCCTGTTTTGAGGCTCCTCACTTCTTAACCTTCAGAGGAAATGCACTGCATTCAGTCCTAAATCACTGAAGTATGTACCACACCCCATAAACAGCCAAGTCTTACATTTCCCGTATTCTTTCTCATATTCCTCTGGGATTTTTCAGTTCAATTTAATTGGTTTCTGTAGGAAAATACAACAGGAGTTGAAAGTGCAGAATCTATTTATGATCCTTCAACAGTACTAGATCAAATAGAAATATGGTTGTTGGTCCTCTATTTTTTTTTTCTTTCTCAGGAGTTGCAAGATGTGCCCAGAAAGTCATTTTTGGAGACCATAGTCCATCCTTGAAGGGCTTTATAAAGGGTCACAGTTGAAGAGCCAAAAATACTGGAAATGGATTTTTTTGGAGAAAGCTTTAGAGTGCTGGACATTTCTCCCTACTACTGCCTGCCTGCCTGCTCAGTGGAGGAGAGGGGTGCCCCAAAGGCACGCTTCACAAACTTCTGGAATCTAATCTGTGTGGCAGAGTGATGCCAGGCTCATTGGAAATTCTCCGAGATGATGCCTAACTGGCTATGTTGATGGCAGAGTGAGAAATAACATCATTAGAAAAGGCCTGCTCTGAGAGTTTGTGAAGGCAAAACATGAGGGCATGTTTCCCGTAGGCCAGGATCAAGACCAGGAACTTGGCTTCAAAGAGCTGCCTGGATGGTGTCACCACAGCGAAGTCCAAGGGGCAGTCAAGCAACAACTGGCAGAGAAAACACTCAAGAGAATGCCAATAACTGGTCTCTGAAGGATTAGTGAGTGATGAAGAAAGTTGCCTTGATATCATCTGTCATAATCAGCAGTTTCCCTTGTGCCCAATTTTCTTCAGTTCCAGTCAAGTAAGACCTTTCTTGCCCCCACCCAATGCTACCCTGGTAGAAACAGTGCAGCCAGCAGCTGAGAGAGGAGTGGGCTAGGTGAGACCATGGAGAATGAAGCTGACCACAGGCGCTCCAGCCATTGGACCACAAAGGGAAGGAGAGAAGCTTTAATAGGAAGTGCAGTGAGATTTTCATCACCACTTGTGAAACAGTATCAGTTTGCAGTGAAAAATGACAAGGGTGAGCTGAAGGATTAGCACAGGAAGAACTTGTGCGGAAGAGCCATCCAAAAGAAACTGCAGAACAAATGGGTTGAAGATGAAGATGAAAGAATAGAAGCCAAAATGAAAAAACTAGACACTGAAAAAAGTAAGTGAGGCTAGGTCACTGAGTAATCTGGCAGTTAATTTAGAACTAAAACTCAGCTCAATAAACTAAGAAAACGTATTCCTACTCCCTACTTGATTTTTTTAACTTTTTTTTCTTTCAAGGGACTTTAAAGCAAAACACTCACCATGAGGAATAGTACTTTTCCCAGGAAATAAAATCTTACCTGCCTAATGACATAAACAGCAATATATTTTTTCCTGAGAAGTCTTTAATTACTCCTGTATTAAGAAAAAGTTTATTCATAAATTAAGATATTAACATACCCTGTGTA